AACATCAGACGTACTTGACAAATCTATATCTTGAGGGCAACCGACTCACAAAACTTGATCTTGGGTTATTGACCTTCTCTTTGAAGGTCATAGTAATGAACTTACAAAGTAATCCTTGGTCATGTGACTGCGACCTCATCAAAACTGTTCGTAAACTACATCCAAAAAATGAGCCTGTGGTATGTGAAAACCCTTCTGTTTATGCCAACTCTACTGTGGCTGAACTGGCAGCCTTTGACAACTTCACCTGTCGACCACAGCTGTGCTCTCAACCACATCAGACTCTGCTGTCATTTGTTGGTGACACGATGGTCAAGCTACCTTGCCCCATCATCACATCGAACATCATTCACTGGTCAGTAACATTTCAAGGGCAGCAACCATCCTCTATTAGTGATACCCTACCAGACGGGGTCTCCATTCTTCCCCACAATGCTCTTCTTATCACTAACGTTACTAAAGACATGACTGGTCTGTACACCTGTTGGAGCGGCAATGAGGCTGGGCAAACAAAATTCACTGCAAACTTGCTTGTTGTAGAGGAAGTGGTATGGAACAGTGAGGAAGAGAGATCCAACCTACCCGCAACGTTGGCCACAAACTGGAAAGACACACTTCTATGTGGTAACAAATCTGTAGGTAATACTATCGGTAAACCACATAATGTATTGTTTTCATTGATGCTAGCAGCGCAGTTACTTTTTTTATCACAAAGTACAATTTTATTTTTTGACATGGTTTAAAATATCAATAAGTTTAGTTTTTGTTTTCACAGGCTGCCTGCCGTAGTAATTAACAAACAACAAACTCTGTTTCGTTGACGATCAGCCATGCATGAAGTCTTTCGTCTTCTTTGTTGTTAGGGCAGAGAGCCAGTGAAAAAAAAAAAACTAAACTTTGTTTAATAAAATTATGGAAATGCAAGCATTACTTTAAACAAACAGAATTTTGTTTTTCCTGGCTCATTTTTCCTGATTGAGGTGTCATATGAAAGGGCAGAAAATGAACTTTTTGGAAATGTGATTTTCTCTTTGAAATTCAGATACCGTCTGCCAATTTTTTTCGGGGGGGGGGGGGGTACCCTTTCCATTGTGGCTCCGAACAGATAATACATGTATACAGTATATGGATAGGGTTAAGGGTTTATTCATCAAAAGTTGTTGATTTATTTATTCAAGAAAAGTATAATAATTTAGGAAATATATATACGGTAGTGTAAACATAGTTTTAACAAATTCACATGGTCTGAAAAAAGAACCCCCAAAATGAACAAAATCATTTGAGAAAATAGTTTAGTTGTTAACTATATTATAGGTCCATGGAAATTATTGTAAAGAAGTAAAAATTGGGAGCAATGACTTGACGATACAATACTGGTACATGGTCTTTGGCAGTGTGTTGATCAGCTTTATTCTCATACACAATTGCCTCAAAAAAGGCCCTCAATCTGTATTTTATCTCTTTAATTTGGCAGGGCAACCCTTGCCCTATTTCAATCCTAAAAACAAATACTCTGAACTGTTTCTTAGACTGTACAAAAACATGTGGGCAAACCCCTCCCCTCCCAATATTTCACAAATACGCCCACTTTGATTACACTAGTATTTCTTTCAAGAACAATTAGTGTTAAGAAAGCTTTGTGTTCCAGTGTTTCAAAGAGTTTTGTGTGTAGAGAGAAATGTGAATAAAACATTTCAAAACAATCCTGCCCTAATGCAAAAGAAGGGCATTTAAACAAATGGCACATACAGCAGTTGACACTTTACTTGTAGGAAGTACATACACTCATTTTCCAGCAATTTTAGCACATTTTCACAGTGCAAAACATGAACAGGTTGTTCTCAGTGTTGCAATTAGTTCATTTGTATGAAAGCAGAAGACTAAGAAAATATTTCAAATAATCTTGAGGGAAATGACGGGAAGGTGAAACTTGGGGTGCATAAAAACTAAGAAATGAAATCAATCCAAAAGATAGAGCTCTTAGGTTTATCATCATCAGATCTCTTTCTTTTTTTTAATTTCTAAGGGCCTTAAGGCTCAGAAATTGCTGATTCAGCAGACATTGCCTATCTGGACTTCAGACCAACAAACTCTTCAATGTTTGCACGTCCTTTAAATACAAATGTGCTATCTTTCAATCAACAAGCGAATGAGGGTTGTGTCAACATACAATTGGGAATGACCATATACACGTACATGCAGTTGTACGCATTAGGGGAGAAGACAATGGTCGCAATGCTTATTGGTTTGTACATAACAGTAATGAACAACGACTTGTAAAGAATGAAAAAATGCTGAATAAGGAAAAATGTCTTGCCCAGTTGAACTTCATGTTTTTGAACTTTAATTGTACCAGTCACCTGAAGAAAAACAAATTGTGTATACTTAGAATGGCATTCTACCAATAAACGGTTAAAGGGATCCGGTAGCTTTGTCTCAGATTCTGAAACAAAATCTGGATTTAGCTGATGCTGCAATGATAATTTACCTTTAGGAATAGGTCAATCAGGAACCCCATGACTTGTACAAGCCGATCGCCTGTCTGATTATCAAGATATTTATGATTAGAATTACAAATATTGAAAACCGTTTGCCAAACGGTTTTCATATTAAACGGTACAGTCTATTGGGGAAAACGAGTATGGTAAAACCTGTCATTAAGATTTGTACTTTTTTGAGGCACTTCTTGATCATTTTGAAGCGCAATTTTTTTTAAGGGCTTCGATATTACACCATACCACACACACTGATAACACGTAGGGCCGTATATCTCAGATTTAACATTGTTAAACGATCCCTTTAAGGAGTATGAAGTAGGAGTATCAGTAATCATATAATGTATTGTTTCCATTGATGTTTGCAGCACAGTCACTTTTTTATCACAAAGTACAATACAATATATTGACATGGTTGGAATATCAATTACTGTTAGTTTAGTATATATACCCCACCTCAAACAAAGTTCTAGTTATTAATTAAGGAAAACGTAATACCGGTAATGATTTTCAGTATTAAACTATCACAGTACAAACAGCTTGAGGGAGTTATTTAGTACTGGATATGTGTTATATTGCTCATTACTTACATTGTGTGATTATCATTCACTTTATATTTTTCATCAATAGTACATTATGTTATGAAAGTATCATTTTCAGGAGAAAATCAATTGATTTATAATATATATAATATATTTTCCCCGTAACATGAGAGTAATATTAATCGCTTCATTCTTTTAATTAAATGTAATGTTAATTGTTATGGTATAATTGTGTAAAGTGGGGGCATGCTACAAGAGTCCTATCTCGCACCCCGGGGCAACGTGTCTGACACGGCCGGTTGTAGCAACTACTCCGAAGATCAAGATACATTAAGCTTGATCTAAAGAGACACGAACGAACAAAGGAGAAACAATAAACGTGTAGGTTATTTATGAAGCACCTCTTTTACTTACTGTAAAATGCTATATTTGGTTTATATGTACTGTGCAAACCCATCTCCTGGAGTGAATTGTTGCAGACTGTAATATTCTTGATAAACTACTTGTACATGGCATTCTAAAGGAGTTGCTTGTATTGTTTGTATATGTTATCTTCTTTTGAATGTCATTTGTAATCTTCACTTTTTCTTGTAAGTATACATTCAGACATAAATGTATTTTTCCTGGAATCCATCTTGTCAAAAGTCTCTCTTTACAGTATGTGTCACTATTACAAGAGTTATCTAAAGATCTGTTTGGCATGAGAGAGGAGACTGCGAGAAGGGATATATTTAAAGACCCTGTCCATCATATTATGTGGAATACACATACTTACAATGACTTTGCACTAATCAAGAAGGGCTCATCGCCTCAGCTAAATACACATACACTGTAGGTGAGCAGATCAGGGGGGGGGGGGGAATTTCACATAACTTGTCATCCTTGACAAATGACAGTTTTTGTTATAAGCTACAGAAATCCATGCTTCTGATTGGTTATCAGCAGATTTGTCATGGATTTTTGTCATTTGTCATTGAAAAAAATGCTTTGTGAAACAGGCCCCAGGTCCACATGTTATGTCGTCACTGTTACTGCGGCAAATTGGACTCCCTTTGACCCTTAATTTGGAGGGGTATGGAAAATGAGGTTTTGATTTGCCTTTGTGCAATAAAAAAAGGGAAAATATTCTGTATTCCTCTATATTTATATTATACTTTCATTCTGCTTTCCATTGATATAAGGTTGTTATTTCATTGGGGAGGGTCTTTTCAAGTGTTCATGTTTGATGATTTGATCTTTAATTACTGAAGAGTGCTGGTTTCAATTCAGTTCACATTTTTTGCGATAATAAAGTTGAGTACTGTCCACTCTTTTTGGTTGCAGTCTGGCATCACGTCATCCTTTACATAAATAAAATACATCAAGATGATACATACAAATGTAGACACTAACCTGGATCTTCTAGTTTACTGCTAAATGAAAAAAGGAGTCTTTGAGTGGTATACAAGTTACCGGTATATAAGGCATTCATATGATCACCTGGGCCTGTCTTACAATGAGTTGCGATCGATCCAAATCAATTGCAAGTCCTCCAATCAATCGCAAGTTTGCAATCTCCTGTCTCTTATGTACATAGTTGCAATTGATATCAACTCTTTGTAATACAGGGCCCTGGGGTGTTTCACAAAGACTAAGATTGACTCTAAGTAGGACTTAACTATGGCAGGCCATTCATGCCACAGGTTGCTCTGACTATTGGTCTCTCAATTATGATCTTTAGATAATATATTTTTTCCTTCATTAATGAACCATCAAAAAATGGAAGTTCTATTGATTTGTGACCACGATTATTAAATACGTCACTTGATAAACCAATACTAGGAATGGTTAGAGGAACTAGTGGCATGAACGGCCTGCCATAGTTAAGTTCAACTTAAAGTCGATCTTAGTCTTTGTGAAACACTCCCCTGGTTATATATCAACAACTGATAGAGGGCTATCCCTGAAGAGACACTGTACTCACCCCATTTATCAAAAGCATCTTCTTTGCGACGACTCCACCGCTCCTTGAAAGCCTGCATAATCATTTTGTCTGATGCATCAACGCTCACCACCTCAAACCCTTCCTCCAGGAGCATCACAGAATCAATACTGTAAGTTGGGAAGAACAGCAAATGTGTGTATGAATAGCAAATATTCAAGTTTAATAATGGCTTCAGATCATTTCATGAATGTATTACTTTGCATTTCAATAGAGGGAGAATAATCAGACATTCTAGATTTAGATCTACTTTAAATTTGGAAAATTCAGATATAAGAAAAGTGAACAAATAATCCTGAAAAATCTGGGGTGGTATTTTGAACAAGATTTTATCTCTAAAAAGTATTTCATTTTAATGATAAACTAAAAATGGTAAATCTAGATCTCGAGTCTAGACCAATAATTGTTATAACCTCTTTTAGTGCCAAGCAGACAGATTTTTCACTCATTGTATTACCTCCCCTCACACTCGTCAACTGAGCTGTGCCAAATAACGGGCTTAACAAATGAAAGAGACGGAAAATTTGGTCTATGCCAGACATAGTCTCAACTCAGTGGAACAACCATCAATATCAGAGACTAAAGCTTTCGGTCTAGCCTAGCTCATAAGCCTAAAAATGTCTGATAATTGATTATTCAACTGTCCATGCTCCTCGACAGATACACAGAGCCTCTTTCATATACGATATTCAGTTTTAATAAAAAAATTATTGATCAAATACCATCATGAATGTTTGTCCTTTATCATAATATTTTCCAACATAAGTCTTTTGAAGATTTATGAAATACTGCTTGTACACTTCTTCAAATTGCTGTTTAAAATCAACTGTCCGATTACACAACCTGTGCGAACACACAAAATGTCACACGTCACGACATCTGACCTCTAGCCTTTGACCCTTCTATTAGCTTCTGGGTATACTTTCGTCTACAACATTATATTGAATTTGAAGTACAACATAGACCTCTAGACTAGACCTCTAATTTATCTTTAATTTTTATAAAAAAATTAAATTGAAAAAATAAAGGCAAAGCCCACTACCAACAACATGTCAAACTCAAAGGCATGAATTGGAAGGCCGAAGGTATGACAACGTATTAAAACACTGAAATTGTGTTTGGTTTGATGAGGGGAATTTCTGACATTAACATTTTTCAAACTGAGCTCAGCTCACCCAGTCCCACACGCGACATCCAGCACACGCTTGCAATTCTTCTCCCGGAGCAGCTGGGTGATCCAACTTCTGTACACGTCTGTCCTCTCATTTCGGCTGCCGATGTAGTACTCCCATACCTTGGCCGCTTTCCCGTCGGCATACTGGTCAGGAATACCCTCTGAAGCAACTCCCAAAGAACGAGTACGATAAATACTATCCACCATTTTCAGTTCAAGACACAATACGTCGCAATATATGAATAATTTTTAACTTTCTTTCAGTGAATAGCTGGATTTCAAACTGGCATGGTACGTAAATATGCGTCGAAGAAATAGACATCGTCTGTATCGGGCGCGTCGTTACGTACGGACGTACGTACGGAAGGCTGATATATTCCATGCAGCTGATTGGCTGGACCATAGCAATGATTGCGTAATACGGCACCGTAGCGTGTCGTTTGTTTACAAACTTCATCATGCCACGTGAATTGCTGAGGGCGTGGCATAATAACGGTTTCAACAAGGATTATATTCCATGGTCCATGGTTTCCATTAACTTGCATTGAAATATTGCTAGGTCTATGTTGAAGGTAACCTTTACATAATAATTTGGGAAATTCTTAGAGAAAATCACATTTCTAGAAATTTCATTTTCTGCCCTTTAATTCATACGACACCTCAATCAGGAAAAATGAGCCAGGAATAACAAAGTTCTGCCCGCTGCCTTAAAGTAATGCTTGTATATTTCCATAATTTGATTAAACTAATTCGTTTTATTTTCTAATTCACGCTGTTCAAACGAAAATAAATGATTTTCCATCGCGCTTTCATGCACCCACCTGCTGAAGAAACAGAGGGGCATATGATATTATCCTTGGAGCCCAACATCCGAAGGTAAATCAAGGTAAACTATTTCCAAAAATGGGGGGGGGGGGAGCAATCTTAAATGCCAAACATACCATTTTATGCATTTTGCAAGGATCAAAATGCGTCCCGTTGCCAGTTTGGTCTTTTCAGTACGCAATTCTGTATTTATTAAACTTGCCATTTTCATTTTTCTATGTCAAAATGCCGTTCATTCAAATCAGGGTCTGAGCTTAAACTCATTTTAAGCCCATCTGTACTAGTTTACAGGAGGGATAAGACCACCCTGCAAGGTCACTGGACAGGTGGTTATCTCATCAAATCAGCTCTCAGTTAACATAAGATAACGAGGATCATGGGGACCAATGGTCACCGATTATAGGCATTTGTTTGCTATATAGAGGGCGCAAGTAGCTATAAGTAGTGCAGTGGGGATTTAAAAGGTGCTGTATTTCAAAGCCAAATATACTTTCTGTGTTGGTCTTGATATTCATTGTAAATTAAACTAGTCTTTTTTTCAGACTTTGTTTGTTTAAATGCTTGACATCCCAATGATTTTATATTTTTATATGGACAAATATTGTTTTCTTTTTTTTTTTTAGATAAAAAAAAGACACAAAAAATGAAATTAAAAAAAAAATCCGCCACCCGCCCCTATTCCAGAAAAGCAATCGAGGACAACCAAATGATTTTTTCTTTCTTTCGGCTTAAGCAAGAATATCAACGTGCCTTTAAAACAAAGCTGCAAAGAAGGGGGGAAATGTCATTTACTGGCTGTCTGCCGTAGAAACAAAGAGAATTGAGTTGACAAAAGACTTAACTCGATCAGCCATGCATCGAAGCTTTCGGTCTATTTAACTCATTGTCTTCTAGAACCAGTCCTGCACCTGGCTGTAAGTCTAGGGCATGGGTTCTCAAAGTTCCTTGACGATCTAGATTTGATTTCCATGAAAGCCATTAAAGCTACAAAACATGGGATGCCATTCGCCTGAAAATTTCTTACAGTCAATCGGGGTCAATCGTATATATCAACTTAAGTAGAATAATGTACAATATTTTTTTTTTCTTTGATAAATTGCTAGGGAAATCAACGTATGAAACATTGGCGGGATAAATTTAATTAAATTTTTCGTTGTTCAAATGCCACATTATCATAAAGCTAATGACGACAAAAGTATCGCAGGCTACAAAATAGTGGGAGATGATCATTTCAGAGATGTTCCTTACTCTTACGTATCAATGCACAAAACATACGGAAGTCCTCATCCATCTCCGCCACGACCATCCTCCCCTTCCCCTCCCCTTTTCTCTCTCTCTCTCTCTCTCTCTCTCTCTCCCCCTCTCTCCCCCTCTCTCCCTCTCTCTCTCTCTCTCTCTCTCTCTCTCTTTACTTTCCTCCTTTTTGACGATGCCATCCGATTGTTGACACGCTACCCCCCCCCCCCCCACCCCCACCTACGACCATTGCCCCGGTAGGCCTATAATATCCTACTCCATTTGCACAGTAAGATGCTATATTATTCTGTATTCTAGAAACTAAATGAAGACATAATTACAGTCAATCTAATTAGAATCATAATAGGCTCCTTTTTCAGATACATTATAATGTGCACTAATAATCCTGCTTACTCTGGCATAATAATATCAACGCATAATACGAATCTCTCTCTCTCTCTCTCTCTCTCTCTCTCTCTCTCTCTCTCTCTCTCTCTCGTCTTCTTAGTTAGATAATAATTGTCTATTACTCCTTCTCTCTCAGCTCCCCCCTCTCTCCCTCCCCTCTCTCCCACTTCCCCCTCTCTCCCTCCCCCCCCTCTCTCTCTCTCTCTCTCTCTCTCTCTCTCTCTCTCTATTTATTTATATATATATATATATATATATATATATATATATATATATATCTTTCTTACCCCTATGGTAGATAATTAACAAAAGAGCTATAAAGGCCTGCCTCTCTCTTTCTCTTTGACTATCTTTTACATTTTCTCCTAACTGTTCTGCATCACCAGGAACCCCTTTCATAATTATCTTGTATTGAATGGGCTTGCAAGGTGCCAAGATTTTTCTTATCTTACAGATCCAAAGTTATTGGAAACAAGTTTCTGTTTTTTCATATACATTTATGCCTGTTAACTGAGCGATCTTACTTGAAAATCTCAAGTTAGGATCAGAGGACCCCCCCCCCAACCCTCTTCTCCCCCCCCCCCCTTTCCACCCTCTCTCTCTCTCTCTCTCTCTTTCTCTCTCTCTCTCTCTCTCTCGCTCTCTCTCCGTCTCTCTCTCCGTCTCTCCCATGACGAAAATCCAATTGAAACCAATTGAAATTTCAATTGGTTTCAATTGGTTTCAATTGGTCTCAATAGGTTTTAACAGGTTTCAATGGGACCTCAGATGTTTTCAATTGGTCCAGATTGGCCCCATTGGACAAATTGGCCCCATTGGCCTAGGCCCCATTAGACTTTAATGGGTCCCCAATTGGTTTCAATTGGTCCGGATTGGCCCCATTGGCCCCATTGGCCTAGGCCCCATTATAGACTTTAATGGGTCCCCAATTGGTTTCAATTGGTCCGGATTAGCCCCATTGGACAAATTGGACCCATTGGCCCCATTGGCCTAGGCCCCATTAGACTTTAATGGGTCCCCAATTGGTTTCAATTGGACCAATTGGCCTTAATTTGGACTTCAATTGGTCCCATTGAAACCAATTGACCAATTGAAACCAACAAATCTAGGCATCTCATGAATATTCATTATCACTTTACACGTGTCACAGAAAAATAAATTTATCATGATTTGTTAAGCAAATTATGACAATGCACATCAATTTTGTGATTTCTTTATTCCTTCAGCAATTATTAAACAATAGATTATTTTGTCTGATCATGTTACAATTACATTCACGTTTTAGCAATAGATATATTGATTTATATATTGATTATATGATTACTAACCAAGAAACAATATACATATTTAGTATATATATCTGTATGAGCCAATGTCATTGTAAATGAAACTCTTGAATTCACTTCAAATGATCTTTGTGATGAAGTTAATGCAAATGAGATTGGAATATACCTAATTGGTGGACAGTTGCCAATATCGATTATGAAGTATCAATAATTTATCACTGGTTCTTCTAACTGGATCGATTTACCAAATGGATCCCCATTGAATCCCAATTCAATACCAATTGGCAATGTGGAGTAATTGGAAAGTGAAACAATTGGTCCCCATTGAAACCAATTGGCAATTGGTCCCCATTGGAACCAATTGGCAATTGGTCCCCAATTTGGAGTAAATGGAAAGTGAAACAATGGGTACCTATTGAAACCAATTGGCAATTGGTCCCCATTGGTTTCAATGGGTACCCATTGTTTCACTTTCCATTTACTCCAAATTGGATTCAATGGGGATTCAATTGGATTTTCGTCTTGGGCTCTCTCTCTCTCTATCTCTCTTTCCTGCATGGGGGATAACTTGCGTAGATGCCTTGAGTACAATCACAATAACGTACATTTAGTTGACAAAAAGGGCAGGTTTTCACCCAAGGGCTGTTATCTAATTAGCAGACTGTTTTGTGTTCTGATGTGACACGGGACATGTGACCTTTTCACCGAGTCTTCCGTGTACAGTGTGTCCCAGAAAAAAAACGAAACCCAGAAACAAACGGTAATTATGAGACTATTGAGGTTTATGTAAATATAGTTTCTTGCTTTTCGTAGAGTTGTTGTAATATTCTTTCAATTGATACTAAGATTGCATTTATCTCAAAATGCTTCACCGAGCAACAGTATTTTAAAATTGGCATGTCAAAACCTATTTGAGCCAAATTTTGGTAACACAGTGAAAACATGCGAGCATGAGAATAATATACAATTTTTGTTTACTACTAATGTTTTGAGTATCAATGAAATATATTCTTTACAAATTAGGAGTTTTCATGTTTCTGATTATGAAGTTCATGAACTACCACTTATCTTTAACTTTCTTCAATTTATATTTGGATTTCGACCGACCTTTAAGGAATAAAATAAGAGTAAATATAACTTAAAAATCTGTATTTTTTGAAGGGCCACAATTGTGGAATAATATACCTCATAATATAAAATCTAGTCCATCAATTAACGTTTTAAAAGGAGATATAAATCATATTTAATCCAACAAAATAAATAAAGATTGGTTATGCGCTGTACACGGTCAGGTTTTTGTTTTGATTTTGTTCCCCCTCCCCTCTATTTAGACATTAGTTAGTTTGTTTGTTTGTTTGTTTTTTGAAATCACCTTCTTCGAACAATATAATACTGTATTTTACTGTATTACTATTTTGGTGGCAGCGCCAGTAAAGCCTTTGGCTTTCCTAGCTGTCTCCACATTAATATACATTTTTGTTGTTGTATCTATTGCAAATGTTTTTCTTTAACTTGTACGCTATGTTTTATTTTATAGGGGTTTGTTATGATGTTTTTATGATGAATGACATAAAGATCCATTCAGTTCAACACTTTTGTGCCGTACGCAATCTTCACTTTTACCGGTCCGAAACCAGGTAATTCCTTTTCCCAACTCTAACTTAACTGAAAAGTATTAGACGTGCTGTACATGCATACCTCGCTCAAACTTACAGCATTCGTGCAATAGTTGTATTGCATACATACGTCTTAGAGAAGGGAAATATAGTAATAAACTAGATAACGTGCAAATATTTGAAGGAATGCGGGTCCATGCATTGAAATTTTTCTTAAAAACGGACGGAAAAAAGAGGGAAAAAAAGTTTTTGGTGATAGTAGTCAATATTGACTGATTGCCATTATAATGCTGACCGTGACCGCATCATCTTATGACCGGAAATATTTGCACGGCCTAAGTGCGATTGATACAATTACATTTTTTTTAATGACCACCAATTTCATTATTTGTAGGTTCACTTCTCAACACGGGGTAGGCCTACATAAATCGGAAATATTCGTTCTAGGTCTAAAATCGGTAGTATGTTCAAATTGGCAACGCATGTACATTGGGAATTCTTAATTGCTCATTTCTACCGAAGGTTCTGACAAAGTGCTGCCAAGGAGCTGTCTTCAAAGCATGTTTTATCACGTAATTGATTAATAAATTGATTGATTTAGTTAAGAAGATAATTTTATATACCAAAGAGTTTCATTTAATCGAAGTTCTTGTATAATTTCACATTTTATTATTGAACTAATCATGATTTTCGTTTGTATTTCCCCACATGTTGACTTTTGTGTGTGTGTGCGTGATACAGTCTACAGTTTGACTTGCACTTGTCGACTTCGACTTTGGATTCTAAATCAAGCATTATAGTCTACTTATAGATTAATAATCCAGGCGCTAGTTCAGAATCATATCCAGAGTTTGACCCCTAATTCCGGCTTGGAGACATAGATCTACCTATGGAATGCAATGGCAAAAATCAACTAGTCTAGTCTAAATCTCCATCAACTCAAACTGTTCAAAATCAAATAATATTTTTTTTAGTCATGATTTAAAACTTAAAAGTCGTTTTTTTTTCTTCCCTGTTGTGTGTCAATTTTCTTATCTTTTGGAGTATTTTTCCTCAAAATGGAGACATTATAATATATACTGTCTCACAGGTTTCACAGCAAACTGCTGCACATTACGATTACATACCGTACCACAACGATCTATTCCCCATTCTTCTTCTTCTTCTTCTTCTTCAAGATAATCTGCCTCCTTCCATTCACAGTGTACAACAGCTAGAGAAGCCAAGCCTCTGCGAATTTTAGCATTATGGTTGCTTACTTCACAGACACGCACGCGTTAGCACGACGGTGGGGTGCACACCATCGTGCACCCCACCGTCGTGCTGACGCGCGCGTGTCTGTGAAGTAAGCAACCATAATGCTAAAACTCGTAAGTGATGCTCAAACGATCTTGGTATCAACGTTCCGTTACGTATCGGGAATGAGGTCATTTCTGAACTGTATTGTGGGACAGGCTTTCAGTGAATTGGGTAAAAAGAACTCAATAATGATCTGATAACACAATGATATCATACCCATAGTGAACCTTCGTTGTCTGCTACGATCGGACAGCTGCAGCACAGCTCGCACGCATGCGTCACTGAACGAGGCATGACGTCACGTATCGAAACCATGGCTAAGCAAACAGCTGGGCCGGGCAGGCTCTTGCTGAGTTACTTTGTCATCGACAGTTATGTGTGCTTCTTCCCACAGACTGTCATGACAGTAGTTTGGCTCTTTTGGCTAGATCTACGCATAATTAATGCGAGGCTTTAACTAGTGTTTAAATTGGCCTGGGGATATTTGTTTTAAATAAGCTTGTACAAGTGTATCCAATCAATGGTCCAGATCCATAACAAAATGTAACATAACCTTTTTCCCCCTGAACCAATATGGTCATGGTGTCATGATGGTGAAAACATTTGCTGCCCTCTATGTTATCTAAATTTTGCTAAACTCATGCTGTTAACATTTGTTTCAACGAGGCTCTCTTTACTTGACGACACAAAATATGAAGTTTTGTCATACAAAAAACATGAAACAGCCTTACTATATACACCTTGTTTGTTTTCTCCAGGTATCACTAGAGCATGAAATTCTTCTTCATCCAAGATACTTCGGACCAAATCTACTCAACACTGTCAAGCAGAAGTTGTTTACAGAAGTAGAAGGGACATGTACAGGGAAGTGAGTATTAATTTCATAGTATTAAAATTTATGATATTTGATGCTTGGGTATTTGACCCCTTAGTGGACATGGTCGTAACATGGTAATATTGAGTTGGTTACAGCCTTTTTCACAATAATGATAATAATAATGATAGCCTATTAGTCCACTCCAAATTTTATTAAACCGAAACGGAAATTCTTTTTGCCCAATTGATCGTGAGCCCGGCAGCCACTGAGCAGCGCCAGATCGACGTTGCTCTATCCCTTATTGTTGAACACCAAAATAAGGTACTTTTACAAATTTTATGATCTTTGTAAAAGCTGATTATTTGAAATGTTCCTGGTTTTCAAAGTATTCAGCCAATGGAATATTGGCAGGAGAGAATGAAATCGACTTACTAAAGAATTGTTAATGTGAGAGGTAGGGGACGTCAAGGGGTTTTCAGTAACACACTATATTATTCCTTCTATTCCATTGTGTATGACTTGATTCAAATATGTTTAAACTGTTGAATGATTTAGTTTAACCTTTTAATTTTTGTATAAAATGTTTGGACCCCACAAGCTATTGTGCCTTTCTTTGTGACGTTTAAATCATGCTCATAAACTGTGATGGTAGATCTAATGACACACAGTTTCCAACAAGCTGAGCATAAATAAAACCAACATTATAGGCATGTCTTTCACTCGCATGAAATACACTTTGTGAAAGTTTTGTCAATTTTTGTTGCACATTAACAGTTTAATTGAGTGGATATATGCATATCTGACAAAGAATTTTTCATGTACAAATTTTTGCTAGGAATGTACCAACTGAAACATGATTTTCTCCTCCATCCTAGGTATGGCTTTGTCATTGCCGTCACGACCATTGACAACATCGGAGCTGGTATGATCCAACCGAGCAGGGGCTTTGTGCTCTACCCAGTCAAATACAAGGCTATCGTTTTTAGACCCTTCAAGGGAGAGGTGGTCGATGCTGTAGTCACACAGGTCAACAAGGTAATAATTGACCTAGGTCAACAAGATAATAAGTGACCTCCTCGGTCATGATTCTAACTGACCAATTGTAAATTTCGAATTTTAAATGTGTGAGTTTAGTGTTAAAAAAAAATCATAGACTTTGTAAATTTTCAAGGTATTTATCGAACTTTGTGCAAGCACAAAAGAGAATTGCTGGCTTTTGGCATGATCTGACCATCGTCCAGAGCTAAGCTGTATGAACATACATTTGCATTTAGAAGTGTTTATCATATACCGGTGTTGGCTCAGTCAGTAGAGCGTCTGCCTCACAACCGGGAGGTCGTGGGTTCGAACCCCGGCCGCATCATACCAAAAGATGTTAAAAGACAAGAGTTGCTGCTACCTTGTTTGGCGTTCAACAATAAGGGATAGAGCAACATCGATCGAGCGCTGATCAGTGGCTGCTAGGCTCATTTTTGGTTTAACTGAATAAAATTTGGAGTGGACTTTAAAAGATTATGATTATTATTATTATTATTATTAAATTTTCCTTTTATGTGTATTCTGTCTTGCTGTGTTGATATTTCAAGTGCTTAAAAAATTCCCATTATTGCATATGATTTTGAGATAGTACATCTGTTTTCGTTTGATGTCCTTTCTAGGTTGGGCTTTTCACAGACATCGGGCCATTGTCTTGTTTCATCTCAAGACATGTAAGTACAGTTCATTACAGAGATTTGAGCCACCACGAGTTGTACTCACAACTTAATATGAGAATTAATAAATCAATTTTTGTTATTTTATCATATTCCATTAAAGTTATCAATCTTGGTACAAATTATAGTCAATAATTCTTCTGATGATTCTTTGTCAATATTTAATTTAAAATGCTAATTATATTCAGAGGATTTCATTTGGGGGGGGGGGGGGCCTGCTAATGGGCCACTTTACCCGCTATAAATATTGTCTCAACCTCAATTTGTCATCCTATCAAATTGCGTAACGCAGGCGAGACCACCGAGAGCGTTTCCCTCGTTTTATGAATGACTTACTGTTTGTATTTTGACTTGAGTCTGTTGTTTGCTATTAATTTACTATATTGCTTTCTATTTGCAGTCCATTCCAGCTGACATGGAGTTCGATCCCAACTCAAGCCCTCCGTGTTATAAGACAAAAGATGAGGTACAGCAATAGACCATTTTCCTATTATCCATCTTAATGCACAAATATTTGTTTAGTGCCTCGTTACAAATTATTTCATTCACCTTTTATGAATAATTCTATTTCAATAGTCAGAATGCGAATTGCATACATTACTTCTTAGGAAACATGGTGGCTTTTCCTACCTTATAACCCATACCTGTAATGTATGCAATTCTCATACTGACTATTGAAATAGAATTATTTGTAACAGTGCACTTAATAAAGATTTAAATTTGATGACATGTACATGATTCCTTTGTTATGATGATGTAATGTGCTCCCTAATATTTTGAAGCGCCTTGACCATTAAATTAGAATGGATAATGGCGCTATATAAATCTCATGTATTATTATCATTAGTATTATTATGACAATGGTCGATTTATATAATTATGTTAGCTGTTACATATTGAAATGGAATTTATGCAACATAATTTCTAAAGTTGTTTTTATCAATTTTTATCAGTTTGAAATAGATGCACATTTTAACCACTCCTTGGAAGCAGGCAGAAAATAGATGAAAGTACCCTTTGCATTTACTAATCTCTATTTCATTGTTAATTTATTTATTTGCAGGATATAGTTATTCAACAAGACGACGAAATCAGGTTGAAGATAGTGGGAACCAGAGTCGATGCTTCAGACATTGTAAGTAGAGCATATATATATATATATACTAAATCTAAATCTACCATGGAATTTTATTTTAACTGTTCCGTATAATCTAGGCCTGAGTCAAACCGTTTAACCGACGGTTATCCGACCGCATTCATCAAAACCGTTTAGCATTTCTCGCTCCGGTTAACCGTTATTTGCATACATTTTGGAATGTGCTAATAGCCGATGAAGATAATCAAAGAAACCGCAGTGTAATATTACACCCTGGCCGCTGCGCGCTAGCTTTCTGGCAGCAGTAATCCCCATGAATGAATTTGTAAACAATAAAACAACCAGCCCCCTTCTCTCTTTTCTCACCCTCTTTATTCCCTTCTCTCTGCAATGTGTTCATCGCTCATGTACCTTTTCTTATTACTGCACTCTCAGCTCACAACTTTCTAAATGTTAAAACATTCGATGGTCAGTTCCTCTCACATCCCTTCTCCCCCGAGTCTCTCTCTCCCTCTCTCTCTCTCTCAATATTAATATCCATCCCTTGCCGACTCGCCCCCTAAAATAATGTTCATATATAAATAAAATACAAAAATATTGATAACAATAATAATTGAAGTTTTAGAAATATCAATCAACAAAGTCTTGGATATTATTTGTGAGTAATTTAAGTTTTTGATCATTCTTCAATTCAGCCGATTAACACAGCCACCCTTTCTTACTTCGATCTTCACTCATGTCCCTGCCTCGTCCATGCAGGGACATGCAGGGACATGCTAGCCCATATGCATGCTCTCTCAGTCACACACACATGTACACACAAACCTCCGGCGCCCAAATACACTGTACATACACACAGACGGAGAGCTCATGCTTGTCACATGCACACATGTGGGCGTGGCTTCTTGACCTCCCACTGAACTGGGTACGGTGAAAGCACGCGCGGTCACCAACCTGTAATTTATGCTGGTATCAAACTCCACCCACATAGCTAGAGAACCTTCCTGATTGGTCACTAACTTAGATCAGCTCATTGCAGGGTGTGTCTTGGGTGTGTGTGATACACACTTCCACATAATTTCATATGGCAATGATACATGCAGGGAGCTCTCTCCCTGACCATGTGCAAACATTGCATTGCAAAGGCATATATAACACGTCACAGATCAGCTAACTTCACAGAGTAACTTTGCAAGGTTAATCATGATATCAAATTCAGATGAGGAATAATAAGACATGTTTTATGTTGTTTATTACTGGTCTCTGTTTATCAGGATGACCCAATTTGTGCCATAGTCCGGGGCTGGGAATGCTCAGCCCGACAGTCTGAAGACCAGCAGGGTTCCGAGCTACAGCACTATTAAAAATACTGTATTTTCACTTTTTCAGATTATTATTAAACGGTTAAACGAAACCGCCCGTATACTTTTAACGGTTAACCGTTTAGCACAAAAACCGTAATGACTCAGGCTTAGTATAATCATTATGATTTTTGATGTAAATATGTTCATGTTTATTCAGGGCCCCATGGAAGACCACTACTTATTGGTCAATGGGCTACCCTGACAAAAGATTAGAAATAAATAAATAAATGAATAAATACTATATTGTTACATACAGTATCAATCATTTACAGTTCTCTAGAGCTCCAGAGACTGATCATGATGAGGAATATTACAAAAATATGCAATATGCCCACATGTATACAGTATTGCATATACATGTACAATATTGTTGCATTCAGAGAGGGGGTGTGGGCATAGGGCCAGATTATAATTCAAGTTATCTCTTCTTTTCTTTGCAAATTTTAAATTGTTTAGTAATATAAATGTGGATGAAAGCTAATGTAGTTTAAATGTTCTCTAAAAATCTGTTTCAATACTTGTTCTTTTGTCAATCCTCTTTACAGTTTGCCATCGGAACTCTCATGGATGACTTTTTAGGTGAGCTATTTCTATTCGATCAATTATGTACAGGAACAATTTGTTACTCAAGATTTACATATTAGCCTTTTTTTTTCTTCTATTACACTCCATTATAGAATTTAAAATGACATACCAGTATGATTATTGACTTTGCACTTTTGGCCTTTTTGTGTGAAAATGGGTACATGGATTACTTCATATTATGATATATTTGAGGGAAAAATGGATACCGGTAGTTGCAATGTTTACAGCATTCTATCTGTCTACACTACATGGTGACTAGAATGCTTTCAATATAATGACGTTCTCTTAAACAAATGCCAAGTTTTTTTTTTTCTGGGGCTCTTTTAAGCTTCTTAAGTCAACAATTACAACCAAATATGCTGATTAAGGAAGCTTTAGGGACACTACAAAGCCTTTATCAATAACTATTGGGGCAAAAGTGCTGTGAGCCCCTGCATATCTAGAGCAGTAGTATGTTTACTATATAATTTATGATTTCATGGGTTGCACATAGACGTATCTCTCTGATTAGTTTGTATGCCTTTCAGAAACTAAAAACATGCATTCATCTATTTTATTTCTTCCATTTATTCCTTATTTCTGCAGGTCTTGTGAGCTAACATCCCAGTATGCATCTCAACCTCAACATATTTATGGACAGAACATGCAAAACGAGTCAACTTTCTTGATACTGTTAATTATAATTTAATAGTTAATACTTATCATAAAACATCTTTTTAGAATGTAAAAATACTTTCTGTGATTTTCATGATCATCGGTACAATGCTCATGTTATTTATGGCATCAGTATTTGGGAAATACCTTTCCATTACAAGAACTTGGTAATTACCTTTCACATAATTGGTTATTGACTTTTTTGAAAAGTGTTTCTCAAGTTGAAATACATACAGTTAATTCTGCGTTACTCGAAGTCACACGAGTCAAATTATCCCCAAGTCAAAAAATATTCTTGACCAAACTATGCAAAACATGTGTTATTTAAAAATCCAAAGTCAAATTTTGCATAGTTCAAACTATATTTTGCTTTCCCAACAGTTTCAATGTATGCAGAATAAAATGTTCATTATCGTATTAAGGTGAAAGAGAATTGAAATGAAGGCATTGGAGCAGAGTAGATTTCCTGCATTTATTTTCAGTTAATGCAAAGTGTATAAAGATATCATGGTTTCCTGCTTATTTCACCCAAGAGCTACTTGAGAAGCAGCATCTTATCTGGCAAGAAAAATAGTCATTAATACTTCTTTCATTGAACATCAAGGACCCACGTGAAATGGAAAGTGTTTGATTCTTGGCCAGAAGTAGTACTGGAAAAAGACAAAAGGAAGCACCAAATATAATGTTCATGTATTCCTAATTTCAGTGTACACTCTGATTTACTGTAGACATTTTTTTTTTCAAAGAAAGATCCCCGAAACAATGCACTTGCACATAAAATTAAGTCAGCTGTCAGCATGATAAGAATATTGTTCATGATGTTTGAAATGGCTTTGTATTTCTCGTTCAACGGAGCGATGCAAGAGAACGTGAAGGTAACTGGTCTTTTCCAGTAGTCTTAGCTCAATGTATCCAAGGATAACTCTTGGTGTAAGAATGCACATTCCATGGTTGCCTGTGAGTAGTGTAGAAAAAAAGAAAGAGACAAATCAGTTAAACATGAATCACAATTTATGTCTAAAACAAAGGACAGATGACCAAATGAAGCACTTTTGATTTCAACTGGAAACTTGTTTAAAATAAGAGGAAAATAAAAGGACACTGAAAAGTAGATAATAAGTCAGGACTTTCATATTGCCGTGCCAAGAGAAATGAAGGTAGACACTTGGCAGTCAAAGTTTTGTATTATGTTGTAAATAAATGTTGTAAGTATTTTGTACAAAATGTAAGAAACAATTAAGCCTCTTGTTTTTGTACTACAAATAGCAAATTGAAATGTATGTGCAACTTCAGTAGGAACATATGAGGACTGTTCAGAATGCTCCCACCTCTGTGTCCCCCACCTGTACTAATCCCAGGGCTACAACACCAAACTCATCAGTCCCGCTTGTATGTGCCACCACCCATAGGAACAAAGAAAGAACAGATAAACTCAGCTCAGAATGCCCCCCCCCCCCTCTCTCTTTCTCTGTCTCTCACTCTTGTTCTGTCTCCTAAAACCTCTAATCTCCATATGTCTACAAAATACTGCCAAAATACCACTTTTGTGCTTCCATTCTAAATTTTGAAATAACATAGAAGACAGTGCACTCTTTCAGGAAATGCTGAAAACTAACAATTGACCATCCTGACCAAAAAATACTTTATTGAGCTCTAACTGAAACCACACAATGCAACTTTTTGGTGGTGCATGGTCCCATATGCCCTACCACTCCTGTTCCTTGCAATATTACTCGCCTGGTCCACCCCTCCATCACCCTCGTCAGGCCCAAAGTGACCACCATCCGAGTGCACCCTCAACAGGAATGTAGGACGGTGGTGCTCATGATGATGGTCTCTTGTTCTGTCCCTCAACCTTGCCATGTACTTTGCAGGGACCCATGAAGGCACCCGCTGGTCGGTCATGGAGGATGTGACGAGTACGGATGGATAGCTCTGATGAAGTTGTTTGGAAGTGATGAGAGGGAGATTGACATAGACATGTAGAAAGTGACAGAGAATAATGGAAAAGAGAGGGGAAGTGTGAGAGATAGAGAGAAAAGAAGAAAGAGAGAGAGGGAAAAACAAGGGTAACATGGGAGTTGGTTAAAAAATAAAAAATTAGAGAGTGAAAGGATTATTTTTAATCTAGAATAGGCTATACATGCAAATGATGAGCATATTTGAAATAATTCCCAGCACTTCTATGGACTTCCTACCAAACATACTTGATGCCATTACAAGACTTGTTATGTTGCTTCCGGGGCATGTGATTGCTAAAGGAATATAGTGCTTCATAAAATGTTCAAATCTGATTGCACGTCGAACCTCAAAGTGGCACATATCTCTTAGGGGCCCAGCTGCTAATCTTACCTGTGATCTGAGATTGTGGTAAGGGCAGTAGGCAGAGATATACTCCATGTCAGCTGCACTGCCAGAGGGGTCACCCCATTCTTCTATGTCTTGAGAGGTCAAAGGTGAAGTAGAGTCCAACATGGAGGACAGGATGTCAACAAAGGGCATCTAAATGGCACATTGTATAGCAAGAGAAAAAGAGGACAGAAAAGTTTAAACCTCACCTGAAGAACACATCTAAAGTGCATTATCATTGTGTATATATATATATTGTGTTTCTCTATCTCTGATTTTTTTAAAATAAATCCACAATACATATAAAGTTGCCCATAAAAGTAAAAGAAAGATTAAATATATATTATTTCAGATTTGGGACCAGTAGCGGATATGGGCCTTGTTTCATAAAAACCTGTCGTCAATAACAAAATGCTAATTTGCTCTCAGCCAATCAAATGCCATGATTTCAGTAGCTTATTTGATAACAAGTTTATAAAAAAAGGCCCTTGGTTAGAATAGGAAATCGACCGCAGGGCAATCGCCACCTAAGCATGTGCCATAGAAACCACTCACTCTCATGACTGCAGCTCTCAGTAGGTGTGGACTCCGGTTGCACAAGACCCCCAAGAGCAGAGCCCCGGCACTGGCTGCCCATCCGGCCGTCAGAGCTGGCCGGGAGAAGCCAGAAGAATGCAGGAACTCCACGCAGCTCTCCAAGTCCTGGAAGAAGACGCAACAAGGTCAACAAAAAAGGAGTAAAAATTTACACAAGGTGTAGTACTTGTTCAGCGTGGATTGTGTAGCTCTAATGCCCGGCCTCAGTTTAAGAAGCATAACATACACTTTGCCCTTGGACAACCCTTTTTAATATAGAAATCAACTATTATTAAAATTTTAAAAGTCCAATGATATTCCTTGACACGGATTCTACACGGTTGTGTATGTATGGAACCTGAGTTTGATCTCAAACTTGTTAACGTATGATTTACTCTTCATCTATACTCGCAGAGTTAACATTCATTTATTTTCGTCTTGTATATGTGTTTGTGACTCATTATTTGATCATGTTCTGTTTGTACCTTGTATTATATTATTCTTATTAGATTTGTTAATGTACAGGACTTTCTTGTAAGACAGTGTTGAAATCACTGACAAAACCACCCTGCTAAAATAAGACTTAATAAATAAATAAATAAATTAATTAATTAAAAAAATATATTGATAGATGGATAGATAAATACATAGAATAAATGAATAATTAAATAAATAAATGAATAAATAAATAAAATATGGTATACCGGTACGAATTAACCAACTGGGAGTCAACATGTTCGTATCATGCACACACTTACCTCAAAACTATGATGCTTCTGGTCTCCCTTGCCTGAATAATACCACTCTTTCCCCAACTCTCCACCTCCCCTGAAAAACAAAAATGTAATAAATAATAAATAAATCATGAATAAATGGCAAGCTCTATCAATGTGTCCACTAAAACATTTTAAGTGTCCCACTCAAAATAGTGTGACCTTACTCGACACTGTGCCACACAGGAGTTATAAACATTTTTGTAGGCAAGCAAACTTCAGAGCATGGAGTTATTTGTGTGTGTGTGTGTGAATATTCAGGTACCAGGTATTCAGGTAATAAAAGAAAATCTTGACAGGCCTTGAATTTAATTGCCAAGTTTTTGCTGATCTGTTCCTCATGGTTAATTTGCTGAATAATAACCTCATAAATAAAAAAATTCATCAAGTTTGAATTCATTTATTCACTGAGATCTGTGTTTTAAGATACAGAAATGTCAAGCGTATTACATTTTACATCATCATAATTCATAAAAAAACATATCTGAATGAGCCATGAAATTTATTTCTTACCTGACATGACAAAAGGCAAGCACCCATCCATTAGATAACAATGCCATCCTCTCTGCCGTGTATTCCATCTCCACATTCCTTCCATAGGCACCGTACCCGATGACCAGCATGGGATGTTGCCCGTCAAGGACCAGGTTCTCTCGGTGGAAGACGGTGATGGGGACATTGGTTCCATCCTTTTAAAAAAAGGGATAACATACAAAGTAGGATGAAAAAGAGAGTGATGCTACTTTAGCATTCTAGTTTTCGGAAGTCGCGATGGGACCGTCAAATTTTACATTAAATACAGCACTCGTTTAACATTTTGAATGACAGAGAGGGAAACTTTTGTTCCATCCAATAGACGTAGAAAAAAATGGCATACCGTAACTCTCATATCACAGATCTCAATATTTCATATTTGTTGAATAAAAGACTCTATAAATACCAATAATTATAATAATAATAACATGAGACCTTTCAGGCGCTAAATCCATTTAAAAATCAAATGCTCAAGGCACACTAGTGCCACAGATAAAATCTCATAAAACAGTAACACAAAAGTACAACGTGAGAAGGATAGAACATAAATAATGAAGAGTACAATTAAATACAGGCTAAATCAAACGGATAAGTTTTTAGATTATGAGCACTTCAAATGATCAAAATCTAGTAATATAAGAAAGAAAAAAAATGATTACCTGACTTTGTGCCACTAATCGTTGACAGGCATAGTCCTCGGGTTTTCTCCTGCTTTGTGCACGAATAGAATGAACCTCTTGTATTTCATCCTCGCTCCCTGACCCTGTATCCTCATCACTCTCCCCAACCTCAATATTGCACGTCTGTAGATCTAGCTCAAAATCTTTTGGTGGATGGACGGGGGAAGAGAGTTGGAACTGGTAATGTCTCGAGTTGATGTCCGCGTTGAGGCCTGGAAGAATGGTGGTATATTCAGGAGGGAGCTATAGTGCAGGATAAAAGAAAGTGCATTAGCTTGAAGTGAGTGTTGAAATAAAGTTAAGGTAAATTACTGGTTGTATGGAATTATAAATTCTTCATTTCCAGTGCTGATTTGAACATTTTGGGTTTTTTTCAGTCAAATATTTTTCAAAAATTGAAAATTAAAGCATTGAGTATAAAAAAAAGGAGACCAACATGGTCTTTATTTCATACTCCTCTCAAAACTACAATTTGAAAAATAAATGAGTATAGCATACTTAACTCAATGGCACTTTGAAGAAACTACAATAGAAACAAGGCTCAACAAATACCAAAGAGGATGCTTATCTATCCAAACATTACCTCTATATGCAATGGCTCCATTTCTCCAGAATGCTGTACTATGGCAAGTTGTGGAATGATGTCCACCAATAAAGCCAGGACAAAATGTGAGGCAAAGACATCCATGTCCTGTATCACATGACCAGGAGGTGGGCTGTAGAGCTCTTCCCATTGTACAGTATGGCTACTCTGGATATCATCTGAAGGTTGGGCTTTGAAGAGCTGTTTGCGATTGGGTAAAAAACAATGGAAATGGATTATACCCAAAGTTGTCAATAAGAAAAAAAATATAATCTTGCTTTTGTCTTTTCACATTCCATTGCTTTAAATAACTAGATGGAATTTTGACTGCGTGCAGTCGAATATGATGCCTCCGCCATAGAGCAATTTAAACAAGTTTGGAGTTTAAATCTCCAGTGGTTCTTGAGATATCATGATAACAATCTCAATGTATGGAATTTCATAAGTTGACCTCTGTGACCCTTGACCTTTGACCTACGTGCTCCAAAATCTAATCAGATTGTCTTCCTATGGTGATACACACTATCATTAAGTTTGAAGTTTAAATCTCCAGTGGTTCTTGAGATATTATGATATGGTGATACATACTATCATTAAGTTTGAAGTGAAAAGTCTCCAGTGGTTCTTGAGATATCGCGATAACGATCTCAATGTATGGAATTTCATAAGTTGACCTCTGTGACCCTTGACCTTTGACCTACGTGCTCCAAAATCTAATCAGATTGTCTTCCTATGGTGATACACACTATCATTAAGTTCGAAGTTTAAATCTTAAATGGTTCTTGAGATATTGTGATAACGGTCAAACGGGACGGACGTACGGACGGACGTACGGACGGACAGACGGACAACCCGAACACATGATGCCTCCGGCACCATCTTCGGTGGCGGAGGCATACAAATATATTTTCCTCCAAAATGCTGAACTACCCCGGACCTTCTAATTTCGGCCTGAAAGTTGCGATAATTCAAATTTTTACAATATTTGCCCCTACGCCCCTTCCAAAGGGATATGGGGGTCAGGATCCATCTAATGGCATGTATGTACATTCATTGTGGGGAAACTAGCCTATTCAAAAAATATAATATTTTCCTCAAAAATGCTGAACCACCCCGGCCCTTACCATTTCGGCCTGAAATTGGTGTTTATTCAAATTATCAATATATTTGCCCCTACGCCCCTTTCAAAGGGATATGGGGGTCAAGATCCATCTAATGGCATGTATGGACATTCATTGTGGGGAAACTAACCTATTCGAAAAATATAATATTTTCCTAAAAAATGCTGAACCACCCCGGCCCTTACCATTTCGGCCTGAAATTGGTGTTTATTCAAATTATCAATATATTTGCCCCTACGCCCCTTTCAAAGGGATATGGGGGTCAAGATCCATCTAATGGCATGTATGGACATTCATTGTGGGGAAACTAACCTATTAAAAAAAAAAATATTTTCCTCCAAAATGCTGAGCCACCCCGGACCTTCTAATTTCGGCCCGAAAGTTGTGATAATTCAAATTTTTACAATATTTGCCCCTACGCCCCTTTCAAAGGGATATGGGGGTCAGGATCCATCTAATGGCATGTATAGACATTCATTGTGGGGAAACTAACCTATTAAAAAAAAAAAATTTTCCTCCAAAATGCTGAGCCACCTTCTAATTTCGGCCCGAAAGTTGTGATAATTCAAATTTTTACAATATTTGCCCCTACGCCCCTTTCAAAGGGATATGGGGGTCAGGATCCATCTAATGGCATGTATGTACATTCATTGTGGGTAAACTAGCCTATTCAAAAAATATAATATTTTCCTCCAAAATGCTGAACCACCCCGGCCCTTACCATTTCGGCACGAAAGTTGTGATAATTCAAATTTTTACAATATTTGCCCCTACGCCCCTTTCAAAGGGATATGGGGGTCAGGATCCATCTAATGGCATGTATGGACATTCATTGTGGGGAAACTAACCTATTAAAAAAATATAATATTTTCCTCCAAAATGCTGAACCACCCCGGCCCTTACCATTTCGGCCTGAAATTGGTGTTTATTCGAATTATCAAAATATTTGCCCCTACGCCCCTTTCAAAGGGATATGGGGGTCAGGATCCATCTAATGGCATGTATGGACATTCATTGTGGGGAAACTAGCCTATTAAAAAAAAATATATATTTTCCTCCAAAATGCTGAACCACCACGGACCTTCTAATTTCGGCCTGAAAGTTGTGATAATTCAAATTTTTACAATATTTGCCCCTACGCCCCTTCCAAAGGGATATGGGGGTCAGGATCCATCTAATGGCATGTATGTACATTCATTTTGGGGAAACTAGCCTAATCAAAAAATATAATATTTTCCTCCAAAATGCTTAACAACCCCGGCCCTTACCATTTCGGCCTGAAATTGGTGTTTATTCAAATTATCACAATATTTGCCCCTACGCCCCTTTCAAAGGGATATGGGGGTCAGGATCCATCTAATGGCATGTATGTACATTCATTGTGGGGAAACTAGCCTAATCAAAAAATATAATTTTTTCCTTCAAAATGCTGAACCAACCCGGCCCTTACAATTTCGGCCCGAAAGTTGTGATAATTCAAATTTTTACAATATTTGCCACTACGCCCCTTTCAAAGGGATATGGGGGTCAGGATTAATCTAATGGCATGTATGGACATTCATTGTGGGGAAACTAACCTATTAAAAAAAAATATATATTCCTCCAAAATGCTGAGCCACCCCGGACCTTCTAATTTCGGCCCGAAAGTTGTGATAATTCAAATTTTTACAATATTTGCCCCTACGCCCCTTTCAAAGGGATATGGGGGTCAGGATCCATCTAATGGCATGTATGGACATTCATTGTGGGGAAACTAACCTATTAAAAAAAAAAAACATTTTCCTCCAAAATGCTGAGCCACCTTCTAATTTCGGCCCGAAAGTTGTGATAATTCAAATTTTTACAATATTTGCCCCTACGCCCCTTTCAAAGGGATATGGGGGTCAGGATCCATCTAATGGCATGTATGGACATTCATTGTGGGGAAACTAACCTATTCAAAAAATATAATATTTTCCTCCAAAATGCTGAGCCACCCCGGACCTTCTAATTTCGGCTGAAAGTTGTGATAATTCAAATTTTTACAATATTTGCCCCTACGCCCCATTCAAAGGGATATGGGGGTCAGGATCCATCTAATGGCATGTATAGACATTCATTGTGGGGAAACTAACATATTAAAAAAAAAAACATTTTCCTCCAAAATGCTGAGCCACCTTCTAATTTCGGCCCGAAAGTTGTGATAATTCAAATTTTTACAATATTTGCCCCTACGCCCCTTTCAAAGGGATATGGGGGTCAGGATCCATCTAATGGCATGTATGTACATTCATTGTGGGGAAACTAGCCTATTCAAAAAATATAATATTTTCCTCCAAAATGCTGAACCACCCCGGCCCTTACCATTTCGGCACAAAAGTTGTGATAATTAAAATTTTTACAATATTTGCCCCTACGCCCCTTTCAAAGGGATATGGGGGTCAGGATCCATCTAATGGCATGTATGTACATTCATTGGGGGGAAACTAGCCTATTCAAAAAATATAAAATTTTCCTCCAAAATGCTGAACCACCCCGGCCCTTACCATTTCGGCCTGAAATTGGTGTTTATTCGAATTATCACAATATTTGCCCCTACGCCCCTTTCAAAGGGATATGGGGGTCAGGATCCATCTAATGGCATGTATGTACATTCATTGTGGGGAAACTAGCCTATTAAAAAAAAATATATATTTTCCTCCAAAATGCTGAACCACCCCGGACCTTCTAATTTCGGCCTGAAAGTTGTGATAATTCAAATTTTTACAATATTTGCCCCTACGCCCCTTCCAAAGGGATATGGGGGTCAGGATCCATCTAATGGCATGTATGTACATTCATTGTGGGGAAACTAGCCTAATCAAAAAATATAATATTTTCCTCCAAAATGCTGAACCACCCCGGCCCTTACCATTTCGGCCTGAAATTGGTGTTTATTCAAATTATCACAATATTTGCCCCTACGCCCCTTTCAAAGGGATATGGGGGTCAGGATCCATCTAATGGCATGTATGTACATTCATTGTGGGGAAACTAGCCTAATCAAAAAATATAATTTTTTCCTTCAAAATGCTGAACCAACCCGGCCCTTACAATTTCGGCCCGAAAGTTGTGATAATTCAAATTTTTACAATATTTGCCACTACGCCCCTTTCAAAGGGATATGGGGGTCAGGATCAATCTAATGGCATGTATGGACATTCATTGTGGGGAAACTAACCTATTAAAAAAATATATATATATTCCTCCAAAATGCTGAGCCACCCCGGACCTTCTAATTTCGGCCCGAAAGTTGTGATAATTCAAATTTTTACAATATTTGCCCCTACGCCCCTTTCAAAGGGATATGGGGGTCAGGATCCATCTAATGGCATGTATGGACATGCATTGTGGGGAAACTAACCTATTAAAAAAAAAAAACATTTTCCTCCAAAATGCTGAGCCACCTTCTAATTTCGGCCCGAAAGTTGTGATAATTCAAATTTTTACAATATTTGCCCCTACGCCCCTTTCAAAGGGATATGGGGTCAGGATCCATCTAATGGCATGTATGTACATTCATTGTGGGGAAACTAGCCTATTAAAGAAAAAAAATATTTTCCTCCAAAATGCTGAACCACCCCGGCCCTTACAATTTCGGCACAAAAGTTGTGATAATTAAAATTTTTACAATATTTGCCCCTACGCCCCTTTCAAAGGGATATGGGGGTCAGGATCCATCTAATGGCATGTATGTACATTCATTGTGGGGAAACTAGCCTAATCAAAAAATATAATTTTTTCCTTCAAAATGCTGAACCAACCCGGCCCTTACAATTTCGGCCCGAAAGTTGTGATAATTCAAATTTTTACAATATTTGCCACTACGCCCCTTTCAAAGGGATATGGGGGTCAGGATCAATCTAATGGCATGTATGGACATTCATTGTGGGGAAACTAACCTATTAAAAAAAAAATATATATTCCTCCAAAATGCTGAGCCACCCCGGACCTTCTAATTTCGGCCCGAAAGTTGTGATAATTCAAATTTTTACAATATTTGCCCCTACGCCCCTTTCAAAGGGATATGGGGGTTAGGATCCATCTAATGGCATGTATGGACATTCATTGTGGGGAAACTAACCTATTAAA